CAACGTGGCACTATCCTATCCTCGAGCTTCATTAGGGTGAGAAGTCGAGGATGGATGATGCACGCGCCGCTTCCATCATCGACCATGATACGTCTTACATCAGTATCAAAAACACGTAAAGTAATGACAAGGGCGTCATAGCGAGGAAAGACCAAACCGTGGGTATCCGACTTATCGAAGATGATATTTCTTTGAGTTCGTCATACCGTTCGTGGGTGATTGACCGCTTGAGCTTGTGAGCGGTGGTGAACTTCACGCTGTTGATGGACGCGTTGTCGCCTCCTCCGATGATCATTTGAATGGTCCGAACTGGGAAAGGTGGTTTGGGTGGCCCCTGATGTTGTTCTCGCCCTCGGGCGAAGTTGGACTCCCTCGATCGCTCATCAACTCTTTTAGGTTCCCTTGGTGAAGCATGTTCACAACCTCTTGTCTGAGGGAGATGCAGTCCTTGGTCTTGTGACCCCGTTCCTGGTGGAATTCGCAGAGGGCGTTTGACTTTCTGGTGCTTGGATCGGATTTCATATTCTGTGGCCATTTTACCTTTGGGCCGAGCTTTCCAATGCGTAGACTATTTCTAAGGGGGAAACACAAAAATTGTGAGCTGATAATAAGGGGGCATACCTCTTTCATTTCTGTCACGCCCCAAAACCGAAGGGCGCGACCAGCGCTCGACCGGGTAGCCCCAGTCGAGCGGACCTGGGTGCCTTTTCTCTCCCACGTGCTACCCCGTGTTTTCATTACTCATTAATCAAAAGGAAATAGCCATTTATAATTAAAACACCTTTTTACGAAATATACATAACATACATGCTTACTTTACGTGGTCTACAAGTTTTACTGCCCAAATACAAAATACATAAGTACATAACCCACATTTCCTATCTACGAAGCCTCTAGGGATACAAAAGAGTATTACAATACTTGCCGGTAACAAGGCTCCGGCTTTACCTTACAAAAATACCAAAATAAGACTCCGGGAAGAAATGCGGCATGAGCCACGCAGGGCCCCGAGAGGAAAGGGGCTCACCAATTCAGCTGACGGGAAGTGAAGGAGTGCTACTGTCGGTGGACTGGAGTACCTGCTATAGATACTCCTACAATCATAACACGAATGTAGCGCCCCCGGCAAAAGGGACATTAGTACATTTGAATTGTACTGGTATGTATGAACAAACTTTACCCCAAGTAAAATCAAACAGTACACAAGTAACGAACAGTAATAGAATCAACAATCAAATGCACATGAAAGGAACAACCAAAGTCAAACAAGTTTCACAATCTCTCATTTTCCCCTTTCAACATCATTTCATCACATCAATGATTTCACAACTTTCACATATGTTCATTTCAATAGTGATTTCGATCACTTTTCCACCCTTATTACCTCGGCCACCCTTATCACCACGACCCACACCTTATTACTTCCTGTTGCGGCACGCAACCCGATCCCACCGGACAATCACATTTCACACAACAACAACAACAATTTACAAAGAATTTTTATAACCATCAATACCATTTCCATCATATACAACGGCACGTATACAATTTTAAGTCACAACGATAATTGCCCACGATAAGTCACATATGATATTACCACAATTGTTTCAATTGCATAAATTACGATTTCTTTCCATCATTTGTTACACAACTCTTACCACACAAACACATTCACACACACACACACACACTTGGTTTATTGCCATGTACTTACACCATTATATCGGGAGACTTAACCAACAACGCTCAAGGCATATTAATAACAAGAATTCACAAATAGTCCACATAGGTAACACATACCAAATGCCCGTACACCAAACAAGGTGACTTTACAAAGGTTAAAGTTAGCCATACATACCTGGAATCGAATTTCCCTTTTTACTTCTATTCAGCTCACCAACAGACTAGTACCGACAATCTAGTTCACAAGTTAACACATATATCTTAGAATTGAAGTTCACAATTACTACCCGAACTCATTTAGGTTATCAACCGCTCCCTTTGCAAATCTATACTCCTACCCAATTCTTTTTACTAGATTTTAGGTATTAAGGAACATGCATGTATGTTTTCAACTTTTATTTCAAGAACCAATGCATGACAATCCTCTTTTTGTTTAAATCTGAAAACCAATGAAAAGGGCTGGGTATTTTACCTGCAAGAACGGAGATGAAGACAATTCCTTGAAATTTCCCGGCCCGGGTGACTTTGAAGAATCAAATTGATGAAGGTAGGACTTTCTCTCTCAAGAACTCTCTCTTCCCTCTCTCTAGTTTGTTTAGAAAATATGTTAAAACGAGGGGTTGGGGTGTTTTATTGAAGAAGGGGTCGGGTTTAAAATTTAGAAAAATAGGAGCCCGAGTCAGATTCGCGGTCGCGCTTTGCGATCGCAAAGTGGAAATGCGGTCCGCAGAATGGACCGCAAAAGTGCTCCAAAACTCTGAACATTTTGTTTGGGTTTGCGGCAGAAATGTGGTCCGCATACCCGTTCTACGGTCGCATAATGCACCGCATAACTGCCCTTTACAAAACTCCAAGATGATTATGCACCGCATAGCTGCCCTAACGCATACTCGGAACTGGGCACTACGAGCTACTAGGTTTTGAGTACAAGTTTTCACGGGGCCTTACAATTTCGGTGGGTTCCCGTTCGCGGCGTGGATGGACCTTCGTCGTGACGTGGAGGTGGCATGAGAGCGCCTCTAATGTAAGGCTGATGTCTTTCTCAGTTAGGTCGTGACCCAGCTAGATCTCTTCTGTTGTGTTTCGCCGGTCTTTCCTAGACTCTATTTGGACCGAGGTCGGGCGTTGAGTAGGCCTGTTGAGATCATCCTCGTCGGTTCTTACCTCGGCATAATAGGCATTGTGTATCTCATCCCAAGTGGTTGGAGGGTATTTCACGAGTCGGCTTAGCAACTTTTTTGTCGCCCGCGATCCACTTTTGCTCAGCCCTTTCTGAAAAACGGCCACCGCCATTCCTTCAAATATATTCGGAAGGGTCATTCTTACACGGTTGAACCGGGCGAGGAAGTCCTTGAGTCCCTCGCCGGGAGATTGCTTGATGGCAAATATGTCGTTCACCCTTGCCTCCGCTTTCTTGGCCCGGGCATGGGCGGTGACGAACTTATCGGCCATTTCTATGGAGTGCGCAGGTAATTGCGAGTACCAAGTCAGGGCCCCACCGGTTAAGGTCTCTCCAAACTTCTTCATCAATATGGATGATACTTGTTCTTTTGTAAGGTCGTTGCCTTTCACTGCAGTGATATAGTGGGTCACATGATCCTCTAGGTTCGTCGTGCTGTCATATATTTTCAAATATGGCGCCATTTTGAAAGTTTTTGGTATAGCATGTGGTGCGGCCTCGTCGCTATATAGTTGTTCCACAAACCGGTCGGCGTCCCATTTTTGTAGGATTTTTGGGACGCCCCGTATCTTATCTACCCTTTCTTGATGCTCCCTTATTTGGTCGCAGAGTGTTTTGTTCTCGTTCTCCATCTCCTCAATTTTTCTAAGAACGGTAATGAGGGCGTCGTTACCTGCATCATTAACAGGGTGAGTGATACCTGTCAAGGGAGGTTGGGTGTGTTACTCATTGGTTGTTGTGGCGATGTCGACTCGCACACTCTCTCTGCTCACCATCTAAGCGGGTTTGTCGAGTATACTGTTCAGTGTATTCGTTACCCATGCTTCTAGTAACTTTTTTACCGCTGGTGGTGCTTCTTCCGTGGTGGACGTAGAGGCTCCCTTTCCATGAGAAGCGGTAATGCTGCCATGAGGAGGGGGTGAATCACTTCGCTTGGATGAGGTGCTTGGTGTCATGTTCTCCTTGTCCTCTCCGTGAGCTTCAGTGATGGTGTTTAGGAGATTGGCGGTGAGATCGGCTATCACCTTTCTCTTTTCTTCTCCGTTGCCCGCCATGTCAGATCTGTGCAAACAACGAGATACAAGACTGTGCAAAGTTTTGTGTTTTTTTTTAGATTTAGAAGAAACTAAAACTTTTAACTAGAAAGTCCCCACAGACACCGCCGAATTGTTTGACCAAAAAGTGTTAAACCTTTTTGCTAAACTAATTAAGTAAATGATGATAGGTAAATTCTAGTTAAATAAAATAAGTCCTAGATCCAAGATTGATGGGTAGTAATAACCTAGAAACCGCATTCAAAGCTACTAAAATCCAAAAAGAGGTTTAATGATATTCTTGTGAATAAATGAGAGAACGAAGGCAAGCAATAAATATGATGAATGGCAACAGCTGTAAGTAAAGAGAATAATTCACCCAAATATATAACGAGGTGGATGATTCTCTTTCTAACAATGATGTAAAATAACCAAATGTGAGAACATCAAATACTTTATCGGATCTGGTGTGGGAAAGCTTGGAACAACACAGCAAATCGAATCTTATATAAAGATAATGTTTGTCGTTATCTGAGAGTCAACTTTTCTAGAGAGAACTTATCAAGATAGAGAATTAGATGCCCCTGCTTTCTCTCTATATTCCTACTTATATGAGACATTCCCATTACCTATTGAAAGTACAAATACAGAGAATATTCCTCTGGATATTTTTTAAAAATATCTTATTGCTAAACTAGTCGTTTTGGCCGATCTGAGTGCTCGACCTCGACATTCGCTGCTCGGCTCGCCAGTGTTGCTTCTTAAGCATGACCTCGGCCTAATTGATTCTTGATTTCCTTGTTTCAGGCGAGGTCCTTTTGATTAGATTTTGACCCATACACTAACAGCTTGTTTGGATGGTTGTTACCCATTGTATTGTATTGTATTGTTATCTCAAAACAATGTTTGTTTTGATTGTTTAGTTAAAATTGATTGTATTGTATTGTATTTTTTTTTTTGGTAATTAAAATTTATTACACAAACAAATATGTACATACTATCATTGAGCATACTCTGGACATACATCCCAGATTTTGCTCCACTTCCTTTATCTACTACATACAAGAAAACATCTGAGTTAACTACTGCCTATGTCATAGATTCTACAAGCTAGGATAGTAGTTAAGTTCCTGCAATCTCTTTTGTATCCTCTGTTTGCTTCCTCCTCTTCCATGTACATCCTGTGTAATTGATCTGCAAATGTTGGTTTCTGCTCTTTGAACTCCCTTAAAAATTCTGTTATTCCTTTCTTGCCATATGTAATATATTGATCCTGCTAACACGAGTTTGTATAGCTCAGCCTTTGTACTCCTCCCTTTGTAGTGCTTTTCTGCCCAATGAAGTTCAGTTGCCCATACCATTGGTTGCCTATGGATGCCTTGCCATTGTAGCATTATTGCCCATATTTTTGATGCATATCTGCATTTGAAGAACAGGTGATCCACTGTCTCCTCCTCATTATTGCATAGAGAGCAAGTTACATCCTCCACATATCCCATACCCCTCAGCCTATCTTTGGTCATTAGTCTCCTGTGTACAGCTAGGTAAACTATGAAGTTCCATTTTGGAACCCCAATCCTGCTATGTACCAGCTTCCTCCATGACACCCTTTCAAATTCCCCCATCAGTTTTCCATATATGGTTTTAATAGAGAATTTGTTTATCTCCTCTATATCCCCCCCTTGGTATCCAGCTTCTACAAAATATTGCTTAGCCTTCAATATCTTCTGCACTACCCAGGATGCTTGCTTTGGTGCATTGTTCCAAAGTGTATCCTATTTCTTGTAGTATGCATCCATCCACTGTATCCATAGCCTATCCTTCTTTTTACACAGGTTCCAGAAGAGCTTACATATGGCATCTTTATTCCACTCCTCAATAGCAAGCAAATTAAGCCCCCAGTTGCTTTAGGTTTACACAAGCAGTCCCATGATAGTAGTGCTTTCCTTGATGCTTCTACTCCCCCTGTCCAAAGAAAGGTTCTGCATACTTTTTCAATATGCTGAATGACTTTCTTTGGTAATACAAACACCTGAGACCAGTATACTTGAATGGAGAAAAGTACACTCTTTATCAATTGTATTCTTCCTGCATAAGACAGGAACTTTGTTGTCCAAGCTTGGATTCTTCCTAACATTTTCTCAAGTAGTGGCTTACACTGAATCAATGATAGCCTCTTAGAGCTTAGTGGTACTCCCAGGTACCTAACAGGCAGAGTCCCTTTGACAAATCCCAAGTCATGTAAGATCATTTGTTGCACCTCTTCATGTACTCCCCAAAAGAAAATAGAGCTTTTGTCAATATTTGCCTCTAATCCTAAAGCCCTTGAGAATTGTTGAAAGCACTTTAACAATAGTTGTACAAACATAGCATCTCCTCTACATAATAGGAGTATATCATCAACAAAACTTAATTGCACTATATTTAGTTTGCCACATTTAGGGTGATAGTTAAAGTTAGGGTCCCTTTTAAGAGTTTTCAACAGCCTTGTCAGGTACTTCATAACCAGTACAAACAGGTAAGGAGATAGGGGATCTCCTTGTCTCAAACCTTTCCTGGCATGAAATGGTTTTGTAGGTTGTCCATTAATCATGATATCATAAGATACTATTGTAACACAACTCATTATCCATTTCACAAATCTTCCTGGCAGCTGCAGATGTGTCAGCACTTGTTCTAGATAACCCCATTCCACTGAATCATATGCCTTCTTCATATCTATCTTCAACATGCATCTGGGGGAAATACCTTTCCTGCCATAACCTTTAACGAGCTCATGACTAAGTATAATGTTATCACTTATCAGTCTACCTGGCACAAATGCAGATTGGCTCTTATCCACCATTCCATCCATCACTCCTTGGAGTCTATTAGTTAGAATCTTTGATATGATCTTGTAAACAACTGTGCAGCATGATATTGGCCTGTATTCAGTTATTTTAGAAGGGTTTTTCACCTTAGGAATAAGGGCTACTGTTGTGCAGTTAATAGACTGATACATATAGGAACTATCAAAGAACTCCATGACTGCATCTGTGATTGCATCACCCACTACAGTCCATGCTTTTTGAAAAAATAGAGCATTGAACCCATCACACCCTGGGGCTTTGTTATCATTAATGCCTTTCAGAGCCTGAACAATCTCCTCCTTTGTGATCTCTGCATTGAGTAGTAATTGCTGGCGTCTATTGAGCAAGGGACCATCTCTCATAATAGCAGGATTGATAGCTGGTAATTCAGTTGCTGATGAACCCAATAGTTGATGATAGAACCCTATCACCTCCTCTTCAATGTCCTTCTCTGCTTGCACTATGCTTCCATTTTCTCTTATTAGTCTTCTTATCTTATTTTGACTGCATCTGTTTTTCATAGTTGCAAAGAAAAATGATGTGTTGGCATCCCCTAACTGCAGCCAATTAACTCTTGATTTCTGTTTCATAATGCTTTCCTCCACTCTAAGCCACTTCTCCAATTGTTCCTTCATTTCCTTTTCTTCAGCCACTGATGTTTCATTTTGTCCAGGGTCTCTCATTTGTTTTTGCATATCATGTAATTTTTATCTGCATACCTTGATCCTGTCACCTACAGCATTGTACTCATCTTTGTTTAAGGTCTTCATAGCCTGCTTTACCCTCTTTAATTTCTGCCATACACATTTCAGATTATGTTGTTCCTGTGGCCTCTCCCATGCTTTCTTGACTATCTTTAAGAAGTCATCATGTTCAGCTAGATGGTTGAGGAATTTAAAAGGCTTGGGGCTGCAGTCTTCTTCCTCCTCCAGGGTTATGCTCAATGGTGAGTGATCAGAACAATGTATTGTTAAATTCATTGTTCCGGAACAATGAAAAGTCCCACTTTTTGAAACAACCGATTTGGTGTGGTGGGATTGTTTTCTATTTTTCTTTTCAATTATGCCCTTATTTATTACTCTATGATTCTATTTTATCCTTTACTTTTTTTTTTTAACTCCAAATCTCCAATTTATAACCCACTTTGTCTTAGTCCCATTTTTTCCAAAACTGGTTCTGCCGTTCTTTGCCAACCCCACGGTCAAAAGCATCAAGAATAGGTTCTGTCATTCTTTACATAATTTGCTTCGTTCGTTTCCACCGTCATTATTCTTTATTTACTTAATATTTTATTTTTTTAATATTATTATTATGATCTAATTATGCATTGAGTGTACTTTTTATTATTTTTATATTATTAAATTGTTCCATTGATTTTGTTAGAATTTGCATGAATTTAATTACTTAATCTATTTATAAGACATAATTGGTGATAAATTAATAGAAATGAGTTTTCTTAAATTATCGTAATTCTTGATAAATTTAATATTTAAAATAATTTAGGGTATTTTAGTAAACTTATCAGTTACACTACAGTACAATACAATCAAACCAAACAGAAAAGAATAGGGGTGGGCATCGGTCGGTTCGGTTCGGTTATGAATATTATCGGTTTTGCCTATGGTTATCGGTTTACAAATATCATAACCTGATAACCGAACCGATAAGATATTGGTTATCGGTTATTCGGTTATCGATCATTATCGGTTCGGTTATCGGTTTACGTGATAAGATAAAAAAAACTAAAACAGTTTCGCAATGTATAAAACAATTTCGGTATAAAATTGTTTTGCTAAAACAGTTTTATAAGATTTTAAGAACTGTTTTGCTAAAACTCTTTTCAAAACTGTTCTATTTCACAAGAATTTAAATTTACTGCAACATCCAATAAAATAAACACTAACCAAAGTTTCTATCTTTCATTCTTCAACCCAAAAAATATAAACAAAAATCCCAATATCAGTCAGTGACGAAAAAACAAAATATCAGTCATATTTTCACTTCAACACTTCCTGCAAATATAAGGGATCTAAATGAATAACGAATACAAGTGTCAGCCACGATGCACATGTTTGTGATGCAATTTTTGCAGATGTCAAAAGAAAAAGTGAGAAGTTGAGTCACTACCCTTCGACTGCTTTGAAGACTGAACAACTTCATCAAATAGTTCTGCTAAACATAGAACTAATAGTTCTGCTAACAATAGAACAATAGAACTAAATCTCCAACAATAGAATAGAGTTCAACACTTCAACTAATAGTTCAACACTACAAACAGTCCAAAGTAATAGTTCAAACACATTTATAACAATACAAGTAGTAGCAACCTTAAGATTAACAAGTCCAAAGTCCAAACATAGTACTAATAGTTCAAATTCAAGTAAACAACACAAAAACTACTCAATCCTTATAGGCTTCACCAAATTGCGCTCCAAACAATGCTTACCATGCCTCATGTATGTATATACCTAAGGGTAAACTAGTAAATTAGTTAATCTTTATTGGGTTATCGGTTTTACCCAATAACAGAATTCCAAACCGAGCCCGAACCGATAACCCAATAAAAAAAAATATTTAACCCGTTAGCGAACCGTTAACCAAATAATCCAATACCGATAACCCAATAAATAATTAACGGTTCGGGTTATCGGTTTTACCCGATATATGCCCACCCCTAGAAAAGATGTTATTTAACAAGAGTAAACAGTACAATCTATCCAAACGTTGTATTCATAAAACAATACAATACAATGCGATATAATATAGTACAATACATTATAAAACGATGGCCAACAATGATCCAAACAGAGTGTAACTAATACCAATATGATTAATTGTATCCTAACTTAGAGCCTGTTTGGCCAAGCTCCTCGGAGGCCAAAAGTACTTTTTTTCCTCAAAAAAGTACTTTTTAAAAAATTTGAGTTGTTTGGCCAATATAGAAAAGTACTTTTTGCCAGCAGCAGAAGCAGTTTTTCTGCTTTTGGGAAGAAGCAGAAAATTCTAGCTTCTTCCAAGAAGCAGAAGCAGAAGTAGAAAATTAATTTATTCAAGACAAAATTATCCTCACCATAAATTTATATTTTTCAAATTATCCCTTACTAATTTAAGTTTTTTCTTTTCATTGTTGTTTCTAGCTTTTACCATCCTATTAAAATTAAAGATATCATATATATGAATTATATTGTAACTTTTCAAAAAATTTACTGATTTTTCTTGTTTTTGATCTTTTCTTTGTGTAATGTCTCGTAAATTTCCAAATTATCTTCTTCCTTTTCACACTAAAGCAAATTATCTGCATCTTCTTTGGATTATCAATTCTATTCCTACAAATAATTATTTATAATTTCTTCTATTATATGCTATTAGTTCCCAAATTTTTAAAATAGTTATCAGATCTGATTTGTGAAAATGACCTACAAATAGGTAATAAATTTATAATTGTATTGCATAATCTATCTGTATATTATTAAAAGAAGAAGAAAATGCATCCATATTTAGTCAAGTGGCAGCCTCATAATAGGCCACTTGGCATTTTAGACAAAGTTAGTAAGGTTAGGTAATAATTAGTTTCTTTTTGAATTTAAATTTCTAAAAATAGAAAATTATACACTACGTGTTGCTAACAATTAGTTACTCTTTTTGAGTTAGAATTTAAACATAACTAACTATTTCTTTTACGATTTTTTTTATATATTTAAAATTATTTTTATTTTATGCTCAATGTCATCTTTCAAGTTTGACTCAAAATCATCTTGTTGCAACTACCATGGCTA